GTTCTTGAATAAAGAACTGCCTTTCCCCCAATCCTTTAAGGCGAATAAACGTTCAGGTGCTGTGACGAGAAGCATACAAACCGATTCCGGTCTAATCAAAGTCCCAGCCGTCGCAATTGCGTTTCATCTCGTGCCGTTCGTGCTCAATTCTCGGCCCTTCCAGTGGAGGACCTGTTGCTGTTTGAAGTGCTCTGTCACACTGCATTTCTCCGCATCCAGATGTTGCCTGTAGTAAAAATGCATCTCTGGCCGCGATGAGGTTCATGTGACTCTCGGCCAGCCGAGCTCAAACTAGTCGATGCACGACAGCCTCCCGCGACAAAAGACTCACCAAGGATCGTTATTAGTAAAGCTGAAGGAAGGAAGAGCAGAATCTCAGCTAGTCGGAGGCGACGACACAGTAGTATCCCGGGAAGGAAAAAGGACCTATACAGGAGTATTGGATGTCACGTGAAATTTCCACTATATGTGTCGCCGCCTTTCCTCTTGCATTCAAAATTAGATTTTCAGTGCTTCGAGAATGTTGATGAGCGCCAAAGTTTCATTCATTTGAGTGCCCGGCCAAAATGTAGGTAATAAATAATAAGGCGGTTGACAGGGCGGGTCCCTTGTAACTTGCATTTTCGCCCTTCTATAAAATGCTGTGCCATAAGTCGTGAGCATGACTCGCTTCCGGAAGTCTCGTGGTTATCGGAGGAATAATAATCCGTAGAATTGTCCTGGCCAGTTCTCGACCTGAAACCCTTTTCTTTCTTGCAGCGCGCCCAATGTCATCCATTCCCTGAATGAGAACAACATAGCCGCGATTACAGCAAACTCAGGCTCCTCGCTTTCACATGTAGGCAGAATAGGTAATGTCCATGTCTAGAGAGGGCAGGCTGTTACAATGGACGATTACCAGAGGCTCGTCGTGGCTCAGTTCTTCGAGGCACTGCCAAACCTCTCCCAGATATCGTGTCACCAGTTTGTCTTGCACCATATTGCCCCGATCCTTTTTCCCAACGCCACCGGCAAGGTAGACGTTCAACCCAGCCCTTTCCAGGGAAGCATGAGCTATACCGCTATATTACATACTCACTCCACGCTCACCGATCATCGCATTGCCGTCCAGTTTCGAAGCGAAAAGCAAGACCTCTTTGGAGTCACCGAAGCTAGCCGCATTCATGGACCTATTGTACCCTTGGTAACATACCAGGGCATGTATGAAGGGCTGTTTGTGTATACATCGCCTTTTGCAGAAGGGACACCGTATATCAGTGTCTTGATGTCTTCTCAGGACTATAAACTGCCGCTTCAGAAGAAGATGGTGACTGTCCTAGACCTTGCAGACCTCGTTACTCGGGGAGCTAGGGCGAACACTACTATATCCGACACTACAATATCCGACCTCACCTCTACTCTTGATGAAATCCGTCATAAGGTCAATAACTACATTTTCCGAAACACAACTCTCAGAAACAGCATTTCTGCTTGCATCAGCAAACTCCTACCACAGTTACGCGATCTCGCCGCCCTCCCTGTCACCCTTACCCACCAAGATCTCGCCCCATTCAATTACCTTGTCGACGACTCCACAGGCCGGGTCCAAGCTGTACTAGACTGGGATGGTGCTATATACCTCCCTGTTGGGTCAAATTTCTATTTTCTGGATAGTCTTTTCGGGTTCATGACCCCAAGTGGTTGGCAAGACACGGAGGATCGTCAGGAACTCGAGGGGGCGTTTTACGATCGGGCTCTGGCTAGTCTTGCTTCCCAGGGAGTTGGGGGAATAACAAAAGAGCAACTGGAGTCGCAGAAGGCGATCGGGATGTTGCTATACGGTGTTGAGCGGCTTCTCAAGTTCAAAGACGAACGAGCCGAGCACTATCTAGATGGATATCTTCGGGGGTTATCTTTCATGAACGGGTTTATGTTCTCGTATTAGCTTAGTATCTGGACGAGGCCTGTCTGCGTGGGAGTTAGACTATGTATATTGGAAAGGATATTAAGAGCCATGCCAGCTTCCTAGGAAATAGGAAAATAACAAGGAATGATTGCCCCATACCTCGCACAATATCATGTTATTAGCTTTTCGGTGGTTAGGTATGTACTCAATTTCTCATTCTGCAGATATAGCTAGCTAAACGAATGTACGAGGGGACATCCTTGCAAAAGATAGAACCCCATGAAAAGGGTAGGATTTGCAAATTTAAGACTCCTCAGCAGCATCCAACCGTGGCATAATCTCGACTTCATGCTCTGTGTAGGGCTTCGAGTCCGTAAACACTTTGTGATTGCCAGAGTTCAAAGGGGCACAGACGTTGTTCCCTTTGCACTCCACAACCCCATGTTCATTGACATGGAAGCTCCACCCAGTGATGACAGGTTCACTCGTCTCAATCTCTTGTTCGGAGATAAGGCGAAGAGGGACACTGATGGTGCCGCGTCCACTAGGATGTGTGAACTCAATGAAGTCTTCTCTGTCCGCAGGGTTCGGGATGATTGAGATCCGTTTCTCCAGGCTGTGAGCTTTGAGAAACCCGGCAAGGTCTGAAGCGAAAGCTGCGTTGATGTGAGTTGCCTCGCCGCTGGCATCGTACTCAAATGCCTGGAACAGTCCATTTTGGTTGAGGAACCACGAGTTCGGCGCGATCTTGTCCATGGCGATGCTTGAAAGAGCCTTTGGGATGCAGACATCAGATTCAGGGGATTGAACCTCGTGGAACATCACAGTCCCGTCTTGGAGTGTGTCGTGGCGATGGAGGAGCCCGGCACCTAGCTTCTTGTGCATGCTGTGCCTGACAAATATGTCCGCGATCGCCATCAAGGTCGCCTTGTCCACCTCCTTTTCCTGTTCTTCAAAGGTCTGGATTGCATTGAAAGAGAGGGCATCCAAGAAGGCACACTCTACTGCAACCGCCATTGTATTGGCAGGTGTCACTGTTTTATCGTTCGTGTTAGCGATTATTGCTTGCACGATGGCGGCCAATCTAGGTGTCTTTGGGTGGGATTGAGCAGAACATGAGATAGCTTCTCGTGAAGTGGAAATAAGAAACCCACAACAAGCGGGAATGATCAGTGTACTTTTGATGAAATCTGCGCTGTGCAACTAGTCTGAGGGAGAGAATGGATTGGAAGGTACGTCTGTATTTATATGAGAAAAGAGTCGGTTGATGCTTGTCATCAATATGACTTGAGCTAGGTCGGGCCAAATATCGAGTAAGCGGGGAACCCTGTCATCCTGGGCGTGCTCAAGCAGAGGAGAACGGGAATAAGTCCAGGATTACAGCGGCTAGAAGTCCATCACTATAGCAAAGATCCACTCCAGCTGAAAAATATTTGAGCCGCAACCACCTATTCTTGGCTTGAGAGCTTCCGAACTTAGTTTTCTGGTGACGTGGCCTGCAGCACGCGGTTTCGCAATGACAAATATGCATGTAAGCACGGACTCGGTCGTCGGAAAGGTGACTGGCGGCTACATACTGGCTGCCATTGGCCATAGAACGGAGCAGCCAGCCACTCATGAATTCAAAGCCGCTACATTTTTATCTAACCTCAAAAACGTGAGTGTTGTTATACTTCAAAATGCGGGGTTCGGTGTTACACCACGTAAAGAGTTATATCAAATCTGGATATATCACCAAGTAAATAGCGTCAGGCTGGAAATAAATGGTAAATTTAGCAGCCACGCATTAGTTTAGCTCGAGGCTGCGCTATAGTTTCCAGCCAATAACCATGTCAATTGGCTGGGACCTGCTTCGATCCGCCAATAAAGCTCTCGCATTTTCGTGACTTTTATCAGAATGTGATTCTCCAGTCACGTAGTCAACTAAACCAACTTGGGATAGGCTAAAGACCGACCCGCCTTTAAAATACCATTACTCTCCCGTTTTTGCTGTTTGTTCTTTCCTGAGTTGCGTCTTCTGCCTATCTCACCATGTCTGCCGTTGTGGTTCTGTCGCAGTTTGATTCACTGGTAAACAAAATGGAATCAGTCAGCTTGAAGCTCTGTCAGAAACGTATTCGCCCATCTACGGACCAGTTAACTGAGTTCCAAGGTTTATACACACGATTCAAGGCGACATTAGCGAATTTTGATGCTGGCATACAGGGATTGTTGGCCATCGGGTATCCCGATGAAGAGGATATTCGACTTGCAAGTCGTGTCCGGTCTGCCAAGAACGACGCACCCTTTACTCCATCGACGATGACGACTCTGAAAAGGAATCTAGTTCTTATCTTTATGGGGCCAACGACGTTTACTTTCGAATCCAAGCAAGTGAAAACAAGAAATAAGCAGACTGAATCGAGATGTGCGACACTTAGATCTCAGCATGCTCATGTTATTCTCATGTGGGCGATGGCGCTTCAGCCATCTGTCTGGAAAGCTTCGGGGGGTATGACCGACAAGACCTTCCACTTTCTCATCGGAAACCTCCATCACGAACGAATCGAACAAATTCCGCCACGAATATTCGAAACTATGTTATCTCTCGCAAAGGAGGGACCTCTGAAGGCCTCTGGACCATTTCAAACGTTCATCGAGAAAGTTTCCAACCCCAGCGGTGAACAACAGCCACCTCTCAAGCGAAGACGTATAGAAGAGACGCCGATGGATTCGACTGGATTCGAAGCAACCGACGAGGGTGGGCCAGAAGGAACCCTTGCTACTGGATCGCGTGGAATACAACATAGCCACAAAAATAATTCAACAGCGATACAGCAAAATAGACGTGAGATACCATGACTAGCTCGATATTCATACAAGGCATCTTAATAACAAGGAACAGAAATCGACTACCGATGCTCTTCTTCGCCTATCTCCAATCTTCCAATGCTAGGAGATAGGCTCTTCAATGCACTTCAGAGCAGTCATCAATGGCAGTGGGAGCGCACAGTTGGGGGGACAGAAACATCTGATTGTTTGGCGGCGCTCGTGCCAAAGAACCGAAGTCAGGATATATCCATCAACCTTTTAGTGGGCCATAAAGATGGTCTCCAGCTAATCCACGAGCTGAAGGCTATACGCGTTTGAAAACAACGACTGCTCCAATCACGCGAATTTCGAAACCCGCTGGTACTGGACTTGTTTCTTCCTTCGATGGATCGTCGTTCTCCCAGTATGGCGGAGAGTTCATGTCTGCGTTCGGATCATAAACCATGATTGAATCTCCCTTCCCGGTAATTTCCCTATCGTAAGGCGTTGGTCGAAATAGTATGGCTCCACGTATGTTGTAGATCTCTCCTTCTATTGCATCGGTTCCCAAAGCGGCCTTGTTTTGATTAGAATATACAGCCGAAGGAGTCTGGGTGGGACGGCAGACCTCGTTCGGCATCACCATGCTCACAGTTGATATCGACGCGAAACCGAAAGATGAAGCCTGCGCTTGTTACTTCGCATTTTAGCATGAAAGTTAGCATAGCTTTTTTGTTATGGACGGAAGGAATTACACTTACCAGCCCGGTGTGCAAGGAGGGCAAGATGGTCTGAGGCTTTGGTCGAACGCAAAGCGGCGCACGCAGTTCCTCAGCCGACTATGTTGTGCGATGGCGCTGGCAACTCGGTGCAAGATAATCTGCGCTGAAGGCGGGCAGAGGGGTTGAAGATTGACGGATTACCAGGTGACCCGAGGGGTTGCCCCACCTCGGGACAGAGTCCAAGTTTCATCGGGCAGCAAAGGGTACTTACAATAATCTCACTTCCTCTGCGTCTCTTCTCGTCAGAGGTAAACTGTCGCTCGCCCACTCATTCGTATCAGAGAGAACAGTAATATGGCACTGCACCTACTGGGCTTCAATTTCTGTTTACATCGCACTGTTCTTAATGGTCATTCCCTTGCACCTACGCCTACAGCAGCACAGAACCCGAGACGATTCTTCCAATTCGTATATGTATTAAAATTGATATTATTGTTTTGTGTAGCTCTGACCGGTATTTTAGTGCTTTCTTTGCCCGTGCTTAAATTAAATGTCTGCTTGCGTCGGCCGATCACCTTCTTCACCTGCGCCTGCTCCTAGTCGACCATCTTTTCTTTTCGACTCGGTTAACTCGTGATGATTCATTGGCCGCTTCTTTTGTGTGGTGATCTACGATCTCGTTACCGATCACTTCTATTGGGCAAAAGTCGAACTGTCCGGATAGCTTTTCCCTGCAAGCTGCCGGTTGAGGCGACCTCTCAACAGAGGAATAAGAAGAACCACTTTCCACAAAAAGAAATCGTACCCTACAGGACAGTTCTTTCACAAATATTGGCTCCTATGCCCGCTTCTGATCGACCCTACCCTTGGAATACAGAAGTGACAAGATTCAGAAAACGCCAGTCGAAGTCACAACCTTCCTCAGGCTAATTATGGCGACTTGGAGCTATGCAGCGGGTAAGTGACTGGGTTTTTGATGAGGTCAATATACGTACCGTCGTTAATTGGACCCACAGACATGGTCTTATAAACACAAGGATTGTCGTGCCTAGTGAGTAAAGCAAAAGCACGATTGACCCCATCGCCGCCAACCAGAGAGCCTTGTGATGCTTGGATGTCGTCGGATCTGGATGTCGCCAGAATACATTGAAAGTAGTGGCAGCTCCATTTTTGGGCTTCATGCATGTAGCCCAAAACCGTATGAATTGTGCGTTAATAAACCCTTGGCTGACCAAAATCACGAACGTGTATAACACAAGCAAAGACCTGCGATGTTGCTGAAAGATCGTTAGTGAGAGGCCTTCCATGTAAGAGCCAATTCAGACTTGCCGGCTGGTAAATGGTCAGGGACAAAACAACAATCGTACCAACGAAGAATAAGCCCGCAATTATGTGAGTCAAGAATGACTGTAAAGTTGATATACAAAGATACTGTAAATGAGTGTCAGCGTCGACCTCGCTCTTATCACCTGCACGTACCTCGTTCAAAATGAGCAAAAGTAGCACGACGCCGACCTCCACGGCAGATATTGAACGTGATAGATCTAGCATTGGGGTAAGAATGAGTTATCATCTAACAAACAAAGCTGCTTACCATTATCTGCGGTTGTTCTTTTCAATGCGAGCAGCATGGATACAACTGAGCCAAGAATAATAATGCCACCTATCATGATCTGGCTGTAGATGAGTTGTTGCTTGTTCCGCTTTCCCCGGCTTAATGCCTCCGTATACAAGAGCCAGAATGCAAGGCTTGCCACAGAACAAAGCGTTGCTGTTGTCGATGCGACCAGTTGGAATATTAGATCTAGTTCCATGTTTCCAGATTTCCTTTTCATCAGATCTTTGACTGTAGTCCGTGGGACCAGTCGTCTTTAAATAGAAAAGAGGATCCAAAATACATTGCTTTCTGTCTGTCCAGTCCGGATGATCTCTTAATTGTTCCTTTCTTCCATGGATGAAACCTCGTCCATGTTTGGCCTCATTTGATAATCGATTAGTACGTTGTTTGACTGGTATTTATGGGGTATTTTGGTTGACATGTCCAAAACGGAGTTAGACCTGGCATGGAGAAAACCAGGCGAAAGATGACTCCCATTAGAAACTCTAGGGTAATACGATCGTGTGTTGAGTTCGACACAATTGGCATCTATCCCGAGCAGGTATAGCGCTTGCGAAATAACGCTTGGCAAAGCGATATTGGATGGATCTCACTAAAGGATAACTATCAACAAAATGCCATTTGTTAGATTGTCATTTTCCCATCTCAAACCACAGTGTAATAAGAGAGAATATATATGTGCGTGTGCCTCAAAACAGAAAGCCACGAAGAAGAGCTTCGCCAGATTAGACTGCAAGGGTCTTCCTCCTGCATACAGACACGGCCCGTTCTATCAATATTGACTGATGAGGGCGAATCAAATGATTGTCTGCTCACGAGCTCGGTTCTCGTACCCTTCTCCAAAGAACGAGACGATTAGAAAAGAGCCAGCAGCGAATATATAAATATGAGCAGAAACAACCTCTTGTCATCTACCAACTTCGAATCAAGTCTTCCAATTCTTTAATACACGATGAATGCAATTAGCGGAGGTGGTTCTTCCCCTTTCCAGATGTCTCTAATAGATATCATCTTTCCCGGTTTCAGTATGGTCACTGCCTCCGCACGCCAGCTGCTTGCTGGCGACCCGGACAGCTACACTCGACTTCTTTGTACCTTTGGGATGTTTATCCTCTTCGCCCGCTATGCAGTCCGCTATGTTTGGGAGATAGTGAGAAGTTACTTCAGTCCGTATACCTCCTGTTATTGCCGGGTGGGACTGACAATTTGAAGCATCGACAATTTATGTCTCATATTACGACGAAGCATACGATATGCTTGTTGATTGGATAGCCGACCAACCATTTGTCCACAATGCCCACTCATTGATTGCTCGCGTAAGATCTCCACAGCGGGCAAACAACCAATGTTCGACAAAGAAAAAGCCGTTGACCTTTTCTCCTTGGGATGGATCTTTTTTGTTTTGGTATAAAGGGCATTTGCTTGTCCTTCGCTGCGCGGTCAAAGAGCATCGAGAAGATCTCTATATCTCTTCCATTGGTCTTAATGCAAATATTTTGAAGGATCTCATCGAAGAGTGCCGCAAAAAGTATCTCAAGGATACGCAGAGAAAAGTCTCTGTCTTTGAACACCGCGAGGGAGAGTGGAAGAAAGCCAGATTGAGACCGGTCCGACCCATCTCCACAGTCATCATGGATAAGCAGGTAAAGGACGATGTTCTAAGAGACGTGGACGAGTTTCTCGACCAAGATATGCAAGACTGGTACGCAGAACGGGGTATTCCGTATAAACGAGGCTACCTTCTCTTTGGACCCCCTGGAACTGGAAAATCCAGCTTCAGTCTATCACTCGCGGGGAAGCACGAACTGGATATTTATACGCTTCAATTGTCGAATATTTCAGACAGCAAGCTCATGAAGCTTTTTGCTGAACTTCCGCCGCGCTGTATTGTTCTCTTAGAGGACGTGGATACCGCTGGAATGGGGCGCAGGGACAGCGTCGACGCAGACCAAGAAACCGAGTCAAAGTCAGCAGTCACCCTATCCGGGCTTTTGAATGTGCTTGACGGTGTCTCATCTCAAGAAGGCCGGATACTGATCATGACGACCAATCATATTGAACATCTGGACGAAGCACTTATTCGGCCTGGGCGCTCAGACAAGAAAGTGCATTTCAAGCTTGCCGATCAGAACATCTCGACTCAGCTCTTCCACACGGTCTTCAAGCAGTCGCCGAACCAAAAGCAACGCAATGAGGAATATGATGAAAAGACGATCGAGGGGCTTGCTCGTGACTTCGCCAGCAAGATGCCGGAGCAAGTATTCAGCCCAGCAGAAGTTCTATCGTTCCTTTTGGAGCGAAAGAAGTCGCCTTCAGATGCTGTCTCTTGTGTGGAGAGCTGGGTGACGAAAGCAAAGTATTGAGGAGAAGGAGGGGCCGGGACAACTGAAACGTGAAACCCTTAGGGAGAAGAGCGGTCGAGAAAGTTGTAGCAAGGAAAATATGTTTGACGTCGCCAAATAATTAGTCTTTTCAGAGCTTTCATCACATATATTCGGAATATCTTCCAATTGGCGCAAATTGTTTTTATGACCAGTAACAGAACGTGCGATCACTTATCAAAACTTCCTTCCGACTCATAATCGGAAGCTGAGAACATGAATCGCCTCAAATGAGTCTTAGCCATGGGCCTGGGGCGTCATGTGCAAACAGCGGTTGAGCTGGACAAGAGTTTTTGCCCGGATTTTCCCACCTTCACGCGATGACCATGCCGTGCATTTCCAGACGTTGGTTCAAGGGTACGAGGGCGCTTCAACCATTTCACGTCCTCCAAGTCAATAACAATCAGACGGCTACCTAGGTCATCCCACAACATATTGCGCCACTCACTGTCGCCATGGACCACTCCATGCGACTGGAGCACGGTCAGAGCTTTGTCGCGCTCCTGGTAAAAGAATCCAAAATTCTTATCGTTGATGATATGCTGAAGCCGTGATCCAGACCAGCTCAGAATCATCATCTGCGCCATTAATTTGCCATGGTACCAATACGCAACGCGGGGTGTAAAGGCCCCAAGGCAGACGGGGATCTGGTGTCCCTGCAAGCTCCTGAGGTAGCGATAATTGTCCACTTCCGCTTGAAGGAGATGCTGCTTCTCCATCGTGGTAGCCTTAATGATCACAGTGTATCCGTGTAATAGAAGAGTAGCTTTGATGAGGTAACCCGTCCGACCACAGACATGGAGTTGTTCAAACCCGTGGTTTCTGTTTCGGGCAAGTTGACGGTGAAGCTGATGTGTGAACTCCTGCGGTCCCATGGAGTGTCTCTGACCACCGTGGAGTTTCCAATTAGGGCATTCTTTATCCAGAGGGCCTCGGTTGACTATGCCGCGGATGCAGGCAATTGTACAGTAGGGTCGTGTAGACTGCCCGTCTTCCCGAGAGGTCTGTTTGTTGTCCCGACCGGCTCGTGTGCTTTCGCTTTCCTTAGTTGATTGGTGCTTGTGGCCTCGGCCCCGGCTCGACCGGCTGCGCGCCGCTGCTGCGATGGATGGGGAATGCGATTCTGCATCACTGCCGCTGCCTTCAGTCGAAGAATGCTTCGGAGTAGACATGTTTGGTTGGCAACGAGCACGGGATCGTGTATTGTGTGTCTTCGGCTCTAGTTTCCAGTGCGATGGTCGATAATTGGAGGCTGGGGGTCTTTACGGAGCGTTTCGGGAATTTTTCTCAACACGTCCAGGTATTCGACCTTCCAGGTCTTTAGCTCGTCGCGTGCCGTATCATGCCACTCTTGAGACGGAGCTTCGGCGGCTAGCGCTTGAAGGGTGAATGCAAGCACCTGACCGATGGCGGTCCGGTGGAGGCGCCATTCATCGTCCGCCTGCACGTCCTGATTCGGGATACACAAGAAATATTGAACAACTGTGGGATCATCCTTCGGGATATGGAGAAAAACAAAAGCCTCCCCTGTGCAGATGTAACCGTATGGAACCCCACTGTCGATCATATATGAGAATATCTGAGTGACCACAGCGGCGACGAGGCAGGTGGCATAAAACTCAAACGTGTCACCTTCCTGGTCTATGACATCGCGCGCCAGATGTATCTGATGTAAACCCGCCACCAGCTCGGGGATTGTCACCTTGTGCGGCGCTTTGAATTCCACCGCATACACTGGGATTTGTCGTTCATCGGCCACAAGGTGCACGCAGAACTGGTCTGCACGACGATTGCGTCTTCGTGCAGTGCCATCCCTCTTCTTTCCCTGCGCCGCTCCTCTTCCCCTTCCTCTGCCTCTTCCAGGCCTAGTGTTCGCGAGTCGTTGGGGCGTTCGCACGTCCTGAAGATTCATTTGCTCCAAGCTGTTCTTCAGCGAAGTTTCCGATGGGTTCGCGCGGTCGTAAAAGGTGACTTGGCCCTGGATTCCAAGCTCACGACGAAAGACTTCATCATCTCGCAACGCCTTGATAATCAATTCAACAAAATTATCCACCGTGTCTCGCTCAAAATTTCGAAGGGACGCTTCCGAATAAATCGGCCTGTTCTGGATATTCGTAACGACATAATCTATTTGGGTATCAGAAGGGAAGAGGGGGCGCGAGGTAAAGGCGGCCGTGCGGTCGAATTTCCTCCAAACTTGCTCCTGGAGCTGGGGAAGTCAAGCCAAGGGATTATGCGCTTGGGGTAAAGTCGGTTCACTGGGTCGGTCGCGTCGCCTTGAGTCGTGAGGGTCGCATCCGTCTCGATTCGGATCGCTTGAGACAGAGAGTCATGGCAGCGATCGAGAAGGCGAAATAAGGTGTTGGGTTGGAGACGCCGTTCTGCTTCTTCTCGCGCCCGTCTCTCTTCCTCCTCACGGCGCTCTGCTTCTTCTCGTGCCTGTCTCTCTTCCTCTCGTGCCTGTCTCTCCTCCTCAAGCTGACGTCGTAGCTCGGCGATTGTTTCTTCCATCGCTTGTTAAAATCAGTATTCAGCAAATAATGGAAGGATGCAAATCGAAGTCAACATGGTAGGGGGTTCGCTGTCTGGCGCGGGGGAATGGCCCGTCAGGGCGGAATGCGTCCAGATGTTTACCAACCAGCTTACTCACCCCCTTGGCTCGATTCTATATATGCCTCAGGCACCAAAGGCACCAATACGCTTTGGCCTTTTGATGCCCTTTGGTTTCCGGAAAATACATCGATTCAAATGGTTTCAGATTTCCTAGACCGGCCTCGTCAGTAGATAGATAAATTCAGTCCTACTTTAAATTCCTCGGCAAGTACATCCACCGTGGCGAGGTCATTATCTCGATTACATCACTCGCGACACCCGAAAGTTCTTCTGATATAGGATAGGCTTACCTCTCTCATTGATAATACGTTCGTAGTATACAGTACTACTGTAGAGGACAACACCAGAAGAGGAGGATAGTAGGTTCAAGTTCTCCGGTCTCGCCCGAGGGCTCGGAATGGAGCGGAGGTGGTCCTTGCGAGCAGGTTGAAATAAATTCGGGCCAGAGACCTGGGGGTTGCGAGAGTATTAGGAAAATGCACGGACCTTAGATCTAGGTGGAGAAGGTGATGTTTTTTAACCAATCCTTCAATCAATTCTCCAGAGACCTTTTCAACCGCTTCATGTTTAAATCATATAAACACTTGAATTTTCAATTGCTCCAGTATCACCACCTCCGTTTTTCCCCTAACATTTGTTGAACTTACAATTAGGCAGGCCTTCATGTCTCCTGAACCGGTTCATTTACACTGATCAAGAGACTGTCATCAATTAATCGAGAATTAACGGTAGACCGTGATAGTAGTTCCTCAACCTACCTCGGCCCTCATGTTGAAGCTACAGTAGACAGAATAATGACCGTTTGAATGTAGTCTCAGCCAGTTTCTTTTCCTATTTTCAGATATTGAACATTCTTTTCTGAATTGGGCACCTGGCTAAACACTCAATTGCTTAGTTTTTACGAAGGGATTTGCAACTGCGTTTAATTAAAAAAAAATCTTTTCCAATTTTTTTTGCCCTACAACGAACCGAGTGATTTAATGTAGATATTATCTATTCTGCCAACAGCGTTTTCTGCGGTTGGTCGTAAATGTAAATGGTCCGTATATCAAAGTGTTGAATTTACTGTAAAGTAGAACCAAGGTGGTCTGAAGACTAAAAATCGTGGATTCTTGATCTGCCTCAAGATAAATATACTCTTGCGTATACTCAGGGAGTATATACTGGAGTCATGATCACGTGACGTGGATCAGCCGTTTTATTGTAATGTGGGGTTATATTTGAATCCATTACATGGAATTTTTGGTGCGGCAGAATAATGGCAGGAAATAGCGGTGACTGAGAGTAGACACTGCCTATTTTGGTCTAGTGGAGCAAGAGTAAGAGATACGCTAACCACATTTTAACATCCAATTCTCCAGCTCATACTACGTCTGTGACGGATTCCACAAATTCTTTAACTGAGAGAAGCTGGTGGTTGCGCTTCTTTCACTGTGTCCAACAAGAAAAATGTATGAATGAATCGATTTGTTTATTATTTTCGATCATGCGGTACTCAGAGGACCTACAGGTCCCGGAGTGAAAACATATGCTCCGAGGAACGAGAGGTGGTACCATGGGAGCTTTGGTTTACTACTTCTGAGGTCTATTATGAGGGTCTTATGCTATAGAGGTGATAGCGTCTCGAGCGATCAATTGATATTAAAGAAAAATTATAAAGTTCACTCTAGATACAGAATGTAGCGCAAACATGTGATTGGTTCAATGCTACTCCTTTCTCCACCTTGGAGTAGCTACACCCAAGGGCCATTGCTTTCGTACCCAATACCTTAGGCTCTGATTTCTCGACTCGGGCAGATCTCGATCCTTTCCAGTTGCTAGATGTGCCAAGACCCGCACATTTGTACCCGACACAGTCCACATTCGATTATACACCTTGACCGGCAACTGGCCTAGAGGGTTCTACGCTATAATACGCCCGAAAATATGAACGGCGTTGGCATGGGACCACCAATGGCAGAGCCAGCGGTGCTCAGCAGCTTGGGAGATGAAGCTGAGGTTGCATTTATCTACCAAACAAAGTTTCATAGCGCTCCCAGGACCTATCCGCATAGTCTGAAAAACTTTGAGGGAAGCAAGCAGACATGCCTGCGCCGAGTTCCCTCTCAGATCTTCTAGTTTTCCTGCCTTGTCGAAGAACACTAGCGGCGTTGTGGTCCATCGACTGCCCTTCATTGCGAAGGAAAGACGGCATTGACCAGACACTGCGGAGGTGACAGCACGACACTGCAAGCTCTATCTAGCCTTTGTGATTGTAGCCATTCTTCCTCCTATATGACCTGATCGCTTATTTGTAATACTCTGCTCAGACCTCAGTCCGCTAAGCATTCTCTCGATAGCGTGCTAGCAAATTCCATTTGTTATTTGACTAATTTCTGTTTGTAGTTACATAGCTGATTGTTCATTTCCGGCTTCAAGCCTAGTATGAAAATCAGTAGTGTCAAACGCTTAGTGATGCCAAACGCTCAGTGAGTCCTAATTCCTCAAACTTCGTCCACCTCCATCAAACTTGCAGCCGGGGAGTTTCCGCTTTTCATCATCGAGGGATCGAGAATTGGCTGAGGTGGCATGGCAAATGGCCCAGCTTGGTACTGGTAAGGGAATGGCTTTTGATGCTGCTGAGGGATAACCTGTTGTAAATGCTGCCTGGGAGCGAATTGTTGAAACTGCTCAGGAACAACTTGTTGAAAGTGGCTCGGGTACGGCCGCTGGGTAGGATCGGCATTGAAATCGACATTCGACACATAGTGTTGCGGGGTGGGTTGGCACCACCACGGCTGAGTTTGCTCACGATATGGAAGAAGCCGAGGCGCGTTGTTAGATGAGTTCTCCTGAGTCCCTGGTGATATCTGAGACTTCAGAGCTTCTTTCAAAGACATGTCGGTATTGCCAACGATGCTCTCAACGACCAGCTTCTCTCCTTCGCGTGTTCCCAATATTTTCGCAAGAGCAGAACGAGAGATACCTTCCTCACACCTCCCACTCTCATTTTGGTGGTAAAAGCCAACAACGATAAAGGGAAGCCTATTACTCGTTATGTCCCACTCCCCAATAGCTACAAATTCCAACCCGTATTCTCCCCCGCAACGAACTCGGGCACGGAGCTTCTGGATTTCCACTGGATCCTGAAGCGTATGTCGGACTCCAGCACTGTTTGCTAGGTCTATAGTGGGCTGACTGCCTGGGACAAGTCGTATTTTCCCTTCGCTATCAGTGACAACAAATCGCGCATTCAGTCCGAGGGGTTGAATGAACAAAATCTTCTCCCCTGACGTTGTGAAGCCCGGCTGTATGGCTCTTTGTACTTTACGTGGCCTGAGGGCTACCACCCGTTTCTGGCCACTCCCTGCTTGAAGTGCTATGTCATTGTACGGCGACCCTGCCTGCGGGATCGTTGTCCCGGAGGATACTTGCATATTGAATGTTTGTTGCGGGGTTGATCCTCGTGGGACTATAGCTGCAGCGGCATTTGCACCACTGTAAGTTGAATCCAATGCTGGTTTTCGCACTTGAGAATTTGCATCCTTGTCTTGTGCGGTATCTGCAACATCATTTGAAGTGCTTTGCGATTCTGGCACTTTTCCTTTTTGACCACTGGATGGATCGCTGGACGGTGGTTGATTGGCCCATGTTAAAGGATAGTGCATTTGCTTGCAATACGCCAATAATGACCCATGCAACATTTTCTTTGTATCATCATCTTCTAACAGAAGGATTGGTCGCCACTTTGCAAGCAAATCGCTATAACGGATGATGCCCAAGTCGGAGTCCTGGCCGTGTTTTGCATTTTCTTCCTTGAGGACGCTGTTGATTTTATCCAGCGCGGATACGGCATCTCTGACCGCCGATGTTGGGGCTTGGCGAGGTTGAAGCAAAGGGTTGTCCACCAATGCCTGGAGGAGTACTTGCATATGAGGAGTTGCTTTATGATGAGATTCCTCATGGTACGGGGAGACCTCCCCTTCGACATGAGGCTGTGGGCGATCTGGATCGTTTCCGAAGTTAAAAGCGTTGTTTTTGTCCACTTTGCTGGATTTTGCCCCCACGTTATCTCTGAGAAATCCAAGTTCTTTCCGAGTTAGTTGTCAGTACTCTCTTGTGCGAATATATACTCACTTTGAAATGCTTTGGTCGCTTTGTCTTTCTCGACAGGGTCCGGGAACCTGTCCGAGTGGATAGTTGCTTGGATTTGCCTGAAATTCAAGGTCACATCTGAAGGCAGAGCTTTCTCGATGGACTCCTCTATTTTTTTGGCGTCGTCCGGTGCGCTTAGAATTGCTTCTATTATCTTGAGTTTTTCTGTAGGTGTCATTTTCCTGGAAGACGTTTCCTCATTATCCGACTCATCCGACTCAACAGATGGTAGTGGAGGATATAAAGGTTGGTCGTCGGCAGAATGGCCTTCTTGCGCCTGGTTGCTGCTTGATGGTCCTGGCATTTTTCCAATCCTTAGAGAATCCAATTTACTTCTGAAATTAATTAGATAATGCTTGGAGGGCTGACGTCCACGAGGTATTTATATGGGCAAGCCTTGCTTGGTCCTGGTGGTCCCTGGTAGTATCAGCTGTTTTGAACAGGGTTGATGGCAAAAGAATCAAGAATCCCCGCAGAAATATATCAAAAGTGCCGAGGAGATAATTACACATATCAAAAGAGGCCTTCGTTACCATCACTGAAGCTTCTGTAGATATCCCACGGGTTATATCCGCTGCATTAGATGCCTCATATTTTGATATTCATGCCCTCGTTCTTCAATATCGACTTCCTCGAGAAAGAGCCTTTATTCCTTCTATTGGAAAGAAGGGAACATTTGACACTTCAGAGCTCTACCGCTCAGTTCAGTTCCACTGATGCTCAAAGGGCCTCACTCACTACCAAAGGCTGTACTAGATATTGCAGTATCGTTCTTCTGGTCACAAATCACCCCCTTTTTCTTCGTCTAATCAAAGTACATGTACGAAAGCCGTCACTTTCCAAGTATCAAAGGTTATCTAGGGACTGAACGTGAATTGGCATACATATTATAGCTGGCTAGCTCCTATTTAGAAGGATAGGGGCTCTCGTTAGGATAAACGAGGGGAGAGTGGGTAGTCTAAATACTACTGTAGTCTTAATCACCAGGTAAATTTGATGCGTAGTGCCTGGCAGCCAATTAATTTAGTTTTCGAGAAGGTCTATTAGATAGTAAGTCAGGTATCCAATAGATGGTACATTAAGTATTCATTGTATTTGAAGATCACGTGGAAATTTTGGTGCGGCGGAATAATGGGAGGAGATAGCGATGACTGGATAACAAACGCCTTGCCTGTTTTGGTCTAGTGGCACTCTCAGCAAGAGTAAGAGATACGCTAACCACATTTGACATCCAGTTCTCCAGCTCATACTACGTCTGTGGGGTTCTTTACCATGACCGGATTCGCAAATTCTTTAATTGGGATGAAGCTGGAGGTCGAGCTTCTTTCACTGTGTCCAACAAGTAAATGTATGAATGAATCGGTTTATTTATTATTTTCGACCATGCACTACTCAGATTTCTGACAATCGTTCTCAGAGGGCCTATAGGTCCCGGAGTGAAAACATGTGCTCCGAGGAACGAGAGGCGGTACCATGGGAGCTTTGGTTACTACTTCTGGGATCTATTATGAGGGTCTTATGCTATAGAGGTGAATAGCGTGTCGAGTGAACAATCCCAAAATAACAGGACGTAGTGCAAATGTGTGATTGGTTCAATGCTACTCCTTTCTCCACCTTGGAGTAGTTACGTCCAAGGCCATTGCTTTCGTACTTCACTATTTCGCTAAAATAGATGAAAATTCTGCTATGACTAGGCTATTATATGGCTAGCAGTTCATGGATTTTCCCCGCTGTCAAAGATTGAAAATCTTCCTCCATTGCTGTGTTGGGCGGTGGAAGTCGGGAAGGAACAGTCGTGGGGTGCCGACGCTATTTTTGTTGCGTACATTGCGCTAAGCCAGAACGGGTAGGACGAAGCCTAGAACCTGCCTCCCAAATTTGAAGGGTGAATGCAAGCACCTGACCGATGGCGGTCCGGTGGAGGCGCAATTCATCGTCCGCCTGCACGTCTTGGATTCGGGATACACAAGAAGTACTGAACAACTGTAGGATCATCCTTTGGGATATGGAGGGGAAAAAAGCCTCCCCCGTGCAGATGTAGCCGTATCGAACTCCACTGTCGATCATGTATGAGAATATCTGAGTGACGACGGCGGCGACGAGGCAGGTAGCATAAAATTCAAATGTGTCCCCTTCTGGTCAATGACATCGCCAGCCAGATCCATCTGGTGTAGAACCCGCCACCAATTCGGGAATTGTCAACTTGTGTGGCGCTTTGAACTCGACTGCATCAATTAAGTGGTAAACCTAAGGATATCTGAATTAGATCAATCCCAGAAGTATTCCACTCAATCCCTAGACGTAGAAAACTGATTATAGTAGCACGATAACTTCCAGGGCCAGCTCATGTGTCCCCAGACAAACAGCCTGAACCTAGAGGCGATCTAAATCTTATTGATGCAAGAGGGGAATTAATGATTATCAAACAAATGCGCAAACAATCTCGCTAGAGGGTTTACTACCAAGGCTTTATGAGAAACGATAACATGTTTTTCTTTGGTCACAGATTACACCACATTACTTGTTCATTTACAACTACTGTACGTTTCTTTCGTACATCTTATCAAAACATATCAAGGTGCGAAAGCAGATCACTTATTCAATTATCAAATTCGATGTGCGCTCGATCAAAGTGCAAAATTAACGACGCATACACATTATAGCTGGCTAATTTTCTTTGCCTGTTGTTCCGGCGTCACGCGTTCCCTTAATACAACCAGTGCTCGATTAAATATAGCAACAAGGATGGTTCAATTAGTCAGCTTCGCAAAGTCCGAGAAACCCCCTCTTTGCGTTCTCAGAGGATAAATGCAGCACGTACTGCTCCTGCTGAGCAGCCACGCGAACGAAAGGGTCGAACGGCATTATGGGCTTAGTGGCTTTCACAGAAACTCTCCATGAGGTGCAACTATCGGTCCCAATATCATCATGGATTACTTCCCATTGGAGACGGACGTTTGCGGGACCACCCGGTTCTGAGACCAGCATTTGGTTCAGCGTACCAGTGACTTGTGAGTAGTCTAGCCACAGACTGTCGATAGGACCGCGGATACCGTGGGTTGTACTCCAGTTTTCCGAAAACCGAATCTTACCAGCAAATATGCCTAGAAAGTCCCCCTCACGCACGGGGACAATGGAACAGGCGAACAAGGAGCTACCATCTTTCGGCAGGAGAGAGGTGAATGTAGACTTATCTGCCCCAGAGTCTGATACTAATTGGTAGTCGTAGGGTGCGCATAAAACTTCAGGAGAGAAAGCCTGCAAACCCTTTGCATTGAAGCTTTCTTCTTCCCTGGTGAAGGCCCGTTCATTTTTGGCATTATTCCAAGAGGACTCGTGAACTTTCAGCCTCTCTACAACTTGGGGGTGCTCAAGATCAGACAGGCGCATGAGGTCGCCTTTCGCGAGTCTGAGAGCCCGTGTTTCCAGTTGTTCGATGTGAGGTCTATGTTGGGTCTCCCACTTCATTATTGCATCCACAAGGGAGATTTCTGACGTCTTCGGATATCCCTTGCAGTAGCTGTCGAATTGTTTGGTGCGGTAATAGAGGACTTTGTCAATACCAGCTTCACGCATTTCAAATAGGTTTTTCCAGAAAACACGGCATTGCCGTTGGTTTTCTGCACCCAACCCGTATCCGGCATCTTCCATGAACTTCTTGGTTGCAGCTTTTTCCGCCATTGTGAACCCGTCTGCAGGCCCTTTCGCGGATGGCAGCTTTGTATGATCGATCAACGCAGCACCCTTGAGAATGATTTTCCAGAAAATTGTTTCGTTGTACCGATTTTGCAGACCCTTTCCTGTGGCTAAAGCATTGTCTCTGCGGATGACGTCAATTGCCTTCTCATAATCATATTCCGAAATCTCATCGACATATTTCAGGATGTTGTCAGGCTTGGTTGTTGTTGGGGCACCGCTCGTTCGATGTCCGTATAGAGCAATAGCTAAATTGACCCTCGCGCATTCGAACAATATTGATGACATTGCTTTCACTGCATACGCGGAGTCTGCTTGATACGACGAGGAAATGTCGACGGGGATATCCAAATGGCGGGTACCTTTCACATGGTCGTAGTCAGGCTAGATCAAAGGACGTTAGCCTCGGATCAAGTACGTGAAACAATTTTGTCAGAGGGCAAAAGTGGCATACCTGTTGACTTATATTCTGACAACCTGCCTCGATAGGTTCATCAGGAATTCTGTCGGAGGGAGATTTATCACCACAATTTTTCGAAAGCTTCGAAATGGGCCGCTTTCTTCTCTTCCTGGGTTCTGGGCCTGCAAGTTTCCCATAATTCCTTTTCGGCGCATTCAGAATCCGATAGGAGCCACGCCTTCCGTGTGGTGAAGCCGGAGGTGTTTGTAAAGCCGAGCCGGTTGTTCGTAACGAGGACTCTTCCGTGTTGCCGTCTTGGCTCGCCAAATGAGCCTCCAGGACTAGAATCACGGTCAACACCCACTCTATTAGCTAAGTCGAGTGTCCAACGTACCGTCATTATCGACTTTAGAAATCAAGGAATCAATGTACTCTTCGTTATAATCGATGCCAGAAGACGTGAATGCGTCCCGGATAGCCTGGGCTAGAAAGCCTCGGGTGGTCTCGTCCATGATCTTTGGAGCATGCGCTGCGATCAAGGACGTGGACGACTCCTGCATATTAAATACCAGCCACTTTTTATGCTCTGGAACTTTCGACCAGAGTGATCGACGGGCCAAGTTCACCTGGGCGGGGTTGTTGACAGTTATAAGCCACTCATGTAACCACAGCGTCTCCTTATCCCAGATTTAGCAGCCCTAGGGCGTAGATCTAGACCACATTGTGAGGTGATGTCATTTTGTGGTCTCAAAATTCAAACCGACCTCCCCAAGCCCCCCCCCCCCCCAACCTGCATCTTCGCTGTGTCGGTCCACGGTGTTCAATATAATATCGCAGCTCCGTGTTGGCGGCTTGAAAGAACATGTGTTTGCAAGCTAGGTTGGATTGAATGTGGTTGGCCAGTGGCCTGCGTTGTGCCCCGATGAACGAAATGATTTGTCTACGGGACCCATAGGCGCAAAATTCGGAAAGACGAGTAATTCTCGCACTGGAAAAGCCCCAGACCCCAAAAAAATTAACAGGAAATGGGATGAACAGGACTTGTAGAAGAAAACATCATGCAATGCCTAGTGGATAAGACCACGAGAAGAAAATGAATACCTACCCACCAGCTTGTTGAAGCCAACACATTCGTTGGTATCGATTGAACAGCTCTGCACCTGGAATGCGTAAGAAGGCGGCTCAGTAAGAAAGAAGCGAAAAGCGTTGAAGGATGAAAGTGACAGAGGACTGTTTTTAAACGGTGACTCACCTCCACTTCGTCGCGCTGATCTGCATCACGTGCATTTCCTAATAGTCGAGGACCTCCCACCTTTACTTCCCACCTTTTATCTTTCCAAAAAAAAAAACTTCAAACTTTGAGCTCATTATGGACTCAGGACTCCCTGCACCCCCCAAAAGGCCGGCAGTCTTTGTATCTAAGTTTGTGCCTTACTGTATTGCCTTATCACAGAACTTTGGTTTTCGGGCTAGGAGACGCGGGCCAGTTTCCAATCACCTGATGTCGGTCAGCCTCGTCTACTACAGTATTTTAATTGAAATAAATGAGTTCAGTCGCTAAGCAAACAGTATGCCCCCTGACCCCCTGACTGGTCCTTCACGCTGCAATTTGATCCATGTTGAAGGGAAGATTAGTCTTCCATGCGAAAAATCCGAACCGCTCGCTTCGCCTACAACACCACTTCCCACTCTGCCAATGTCAATGTTGATCGGCACCGCCCATTTCAATCGAGGAGTTCTTGGCTTAGATCTCATGGTTCTCGTTTCGCCTTAATAGATTCTCAATGTCGTCGTTTTGGTCACCGCATTCTGGGCTAATCTACTCCGTACCTCCATAGGCTCGCTTGAATGTGAGCTACTAGTAGCTTCTTATTGGTTCGGCACTGCCATCCCTTTCTGCACATTGGGGTAGCGACCTTATGCCTGGTGTGAGAAAGAATACGCGGGTTGGGTGCATCAGACAGTGGTGACAAATAAAATAATGATGGCGAATGAGTTTTAATAAGAGTCTTGAATGAGGAATGACTGCCACTTTGATTGAACTGCGGCGGTAATTATTGACACGGACCCCCAGTTAACTGCTGGAAAAGATCGTTCTGAAGATACTGTAGAGTGGTCAATCATCGGGACACCGTGGTCACTAAATAGGTGCATTGAGTGGGTCAGGTACTTTAACGTCGCAACTACTTTCCTCAGGGTCGGTGAAACAAGTTTGTCCAACGATTTAATTTACTTTTTGCAGTCGACTATCTCATTCCGCCGTTGACTACTGCTCACTAATGCTTAATTCACGCCACAGGCAGGTATCTTAGCTACAACAGATTGTATGCCTCATCTTTTGACATGCCAACTTCAACGCTCTGCTTCGCCAAACCGGTTGAGTTCTGAACTAGTAGTGTTCGAGTGGGTCTGCGTTAGCAGTGATGTGCTCTCCACCAAATCAGTCCATGTGGGACTGGCCGTCATGGTAGACCGCACACAATAAAAGAGCATTGAAAGCCTTTTGGGCCCAGCCGTATCTAGCATATCTAGGTTTTTGCCTTAGCAAGAGGGCTCCGTATGGAAGAGGGCTCCATATGGACGTTCGTTCCATTAGACACATCCAGCAGTGCGTTTGCCAAACACATCGATTCCGGATGTCGTGGAAAAATAGCTCGTAATGTGGTCTAAAACTCCAAGGTGGAGATATGAGGCAGCGGACCAAACACGCATTGCACTTTCTGCCCTTGCTCCAAAAATAGTAATGCAAAGGCACTCGAGAACTCAGGATGCCTCAACCGTCTATATCTACCATAGCCTACCGAGGGAGGACTTTATTGAGCATCGACAAAAAGCAGCAATAAGAGCAATTCCTCTTATTACCTATACACTATTTCAACAGAACATCTATGCCCTTGCGCGTCGCTTCCATAGCCGTTCGCGATTTACTTAAACGTGGCTTGCACATCCTAGCTGCCCTATGCTGTCTGGGGGGTTGGCGAAAGGCGTAGTAGAGTGTACAGAATGGTTACTGGGAGGTGAGCAGAGCCATGGGGGCACTGGCAGAGGTATCGAAACTTCAGACCAAGTGAAGAGAACCTCTGAGTTAACATTGCCGGAATTATCACGACGCCACGTAAGATATCTACTCCATTAGCATTAAAACTAAAGTAGTATAAACGAGAGTAGTGATACCCCAGTAGTATTAAAGCCAGAGAATCCCCTGAAAACTTTGAGAGATTAGGAGAGGATTGGTTGGAAGTAGCATAAGAGACCACTGAAGCGTGGGATGCGACCACTTTGGTAACTTACTCCAAGGTGGAGAAAGGAGTAGTAGCAAACCAATGATATTTAAAATCATCCACCAATGAAACAGGACTCTTATTGAGAGTGCCACTAGACCGAAGTTGGTAATACTTCGCCACTTCATCATCAACTGGTGACGCGCGCTTCGCACGCCGATGCCCTGAAACGATGAAAAAAGAGAGAACAGTACTACAAGAGACCGCGCACACGCACGAACTTGATATATCTCCCAGTCGTTCCTATACTCGGTGTTCGACTAGGGTAAGAATGTCCTCTACGCCTCTCCATGGACACCGTTCTCGTCCCCTTCGTCTTGTATCGCCGGGTGTGAAATCCGCCGGTAATCAGGCCTCCTGCTAGCAGATTGCGTGCCCATCCAAGTCGTTCGATGGCGCGAAAGCCGAATTAGAGCGATCTATGCAGAGTTCCCTATCATGAAGACTTGTCCACTCATGACCTCTCCCAGACCCATGCACCACGCTTCAGTTGACGTTTTAAGCGTATCTCTTACTCTTGCTGAGAGTGCCACTAGACCAAAACAGGCAAGGTGTTTGTTATCCAGTCATCACTATCTCCTCCCATTGTTCCGCCGCACTAAAATTTCCACATGATCTTCAAATGCAATGAATACTTAATGTACGAACTTTTTTCCCAAGAAGACTAAAAACTTCTTGTTGAAGTATATATCTGCATGCCCTTTGCACTTTCTCGAATATTTTATCAAGAGTGAAATTTCTGATACTGTAAAACCATGGATGTGGCTCCACCCTTCGTAACGTTGAACACGTAGAGAATGCGACGGTCACCGCGTCGCCGACAGCTTACAAACAAATGAAAATAGGGTTGGGAGTATATTGAAAATTTAAAGCCGATTTTGACTTTTTTTTTGGAGTTCCCATAGACTCAGGATATTTATTGGACAGCAGCATCTCTTGGTGCCAACAGGCCGATTCGTGGTACTATTTTCTTGACCCCCAAAAAGAATGCAAAGCTCCTGCAAAATTCTTTCTACTCCTTGGAGAAACTCTAGGCTACTCCGTCCACGCAGACTACTCAGTCTTCCCAGACTACTCGGTAGACTGCAAGGAGTCCAAGAGAACCCACATCTTGGATCCTTACTTAGCGCTTCCTTATCTCCGGCTAACACCGAACGACTTTACAGGGAGGCGTTTTTGCTTGGCGGAAGGGGGTAATAATCCGGCCCGGTCCGAAGCTAAGCATTGTAGTCCATACTTACAGTTGCGCCTCCGAACTGCAAACTTAGTGCGGCCTCTCTTCAACACCACACCCCGTTTGTTTGTTAAGGCCGAGGCAGTCGAGGGACTGCTGTCACGGCTTACCATTGATTCTCAGTTGATTGATGACAGTCTCTTGATCAGACTAGATGAACTGGTCCAGGAGCCTGCTTAATTGTATGTTCAACAAAGATTAGTGGAAAAACGGACGGTGGTGATTCTGCAGCAATTAAAATTCAGGTGTTTAAATGTTTAGACATGAGGCCGTAGAAAGTGGTGAGAAGGTCATTTTGACGCTGCCCTCTCTGTAGAAAAGTCGGTTTGATTAATAGGATCGGTTAAAAAACATTACATTCTCCACCTCGATCCAAGGTCCGTGCATTTTCCTAATACTCTCGCACTCCCCAGGTCTCTGGCCCGAAATTAATTCAGCCTTGTTGCAAGGACCAGCCGCTCCATTCCGAGCCCTCGGGCGAGACCGGAGAACTTGGAACTTACTATCCTCCTCCTGTCCTGTGGTTCACTAGTACTGTGAACAACGAACACATTATCAACGTGAATGTCTGCTTGCTTCCCTCGAAGTTTTTCCCACTATGCGGGTAGGTCCTGGGAGCGTTATGAAACTTTGTTTGGTAGATAAATGCAACCTCCGGCTTCCTCTCCCAAGCTGCTGAGCACCGCTGGCTCTGCCAGTGGTGGTCTCATGCCAACGCCATTCATATTTTCGGGCGTATTATAGCGTAGAACCCTCTAGGCCAGTTGCCAGTCGCAGCGTATAATCGAATGTGGACTGGGTCGGGTACAAATGTGCGGGTCTTGGCACATCTAGCAACTGGAAAGGATCGAGATCTGCCGCAGTCGAGAAATCAGAGCCTAAGGTATTGGGTACGAAAGCAATGGCCCTTAGATGTACTCCAAGGTGGAGAAAGGAGTAGCATTGAACCAATCACACGTTTGCGCTACATCTTGTATCTAGAGTGAACTATATCAAT